CCCGCCCCTGTCCTCTGCGCTGATCCCGCCCTTCCCGTCCTCCCATTGGCTAGGCCGAAGGGCCACTGTCCAATGAGAGGGCGGCGCGGGCGGAAGTGCTGCTCGGGGCCGGAAGCGGCGTTGCAGCCCCCGGTGAGGCCGCGGAGCTCCCGGTACCCCTGGAACCCCCGAGCCCCCCCCGCACCTCCGGAGTCCCCGGGATCTCCCGGAACCACGCGGCCCCGCCGTCATGTTCCTCACGCGCTCCGAGTACGACCGGTGAGTGCCTCCCCGCGCCCGCGGCTGAGTCACCGGCCTGCGCCCGGCGTGGCCCGACCGGTCCAGGGCGCCATGAGCGGCGCCTCCCGCACTGGGATCGCACCGGGAGCTGCCAGGAGCCCGCAGCGTTGCTGGGCCCTGCTACGGGACCGGGGCCTGCCGGGATGGGACGGACCCGAGGGCGGGGGTTGCTCCTGAGCCCTTGGTTGGTGTGTGGGGATGGGATGGAATGGCATGGGGTGAGATGGAATGGAGTGAGGTGGATTGGGATGGGATGGCGTATCCAGGGAAAGGAGCGTGTCCAGTGGGCAGCAACGGAGCTGCGGAAGGTTGGGTCTGGATCACCAGGGCTGGCTGAGGGAGCTGGGAAAGGGGCTCAGCCCAGAGAAAAGGAGGCTCAGGGGGGACCTTGTGGCTCTGCACATCTCCCTGACAGGAGGGCCAGTGAGGGGGTCGGGCTCTGCTCCCAGGGACAGGAGGAGAGGGAACGGCCTCAAGTTGGGCCACGGATGTGTGGTTTGGATATTGGGAATTTTTTTCTTGGAAAGGGCTATCCAGTCCTGGCTCTGGCGACCTAAGGCTGTGGTGGAATCTTTATCCCAGGAAGGGCTCAAAAAACACGTGGGGGTGGCACTTGGGGACAAGGCTTAGCAGTGGCCTTGACAGTGCTGGGGGAGAGGTTGGACTCCATGATCTCAAAGGACTTTTCCAACCTCAAGGATTCCATGATTCTATGGTAAAACAAGACTTTTGTGGCTTCTGGTGGGCCCTTTGGATTCTGAAGGCTTCCAGCACCCACAGTGTGCTAGGACATCTCACCTTGACCTGCCAGCTTTCCTTGTGTTCCTGTCCATGAACATCGTGAATCCAGACCCTGGGGGTGTCCTTTGCTGAGGGGGACACGTCCCTGCTGCCCTCCCTTCACCCCTGAGCAAGGACTTGCATTCCATTGGTTTCTTGCTTTTCTCACTCTGTCTGTGTTGTCGTTGCAGGGGTGTGAACACGTTCTCTCCAGAGGGGAGGCTCTTCCAGGTGGAATATGCCATCGAGGCCATAAAGGTACTTTCAAAACGTTTCCAAACTGTGACACCTGGGGCTCCTTCAAAGCCCAGTTATGGATTGTTCACAACTAATCCAGGCTGTGTGTGTTTCCTCCAGCCAAACATCCCACAGCTCTGCTCTTTTATGGGTCACTAAGAACCAGAACTCATCAACTTTCCCTGAAGTTCAGCAGAATGTTCCCTCCCTTGTCCTACCAAGTGATTTATCCCCAACTAAAATGCAATCCAAAGCTAAATCAAACCTAAAACATTTATTGGGTGCATTTAAATGTGAAGGTTGTTACGGGCAAACCCACCTTTGCAGGGCCAAATGGCCTTTGGGGATTAAATATCCTTAATTGATAAATATCCTTAATTGATAAATATTCCTGTTTATTATATTGAAAAAATGTGGGTGTTGATTGGTAATAAGTTTAAGTTTGGAAGAAACAGGTCAAGTGGTGAAGGGAAAAAGCTCTGAAGGGTCCTGATTTTATGTTCCCTTTGCTGCTTTAGCTCCTTGGACTTCTAAAAGGAGGAATGAGGTAACAATGTAACAGAAAAAGCAATACAGTTACCAATGACTTGGGAATTAAGGCTCCCATGTTGGTGACCATGCTGACTTGATTAGTTAAAATGGATCTCCTGGAGCAGGGAGATCTCCTGCCATACCTGTGGCTGTAGGTGCAGCTTTCCAGGGAATCTTGGGGTTAAAATTAAACCCCATGTGTTGAAGTGGATGTTGGGAGTGAGCATTCCACATTGCAGCTGAGACAGTTCTGCCAGGAAATTCCGTAGTCTGGAATAGCTGCAAGTGCTGGGAGCAAGGTGGGATCAAAGTGGGATGAAGATGATTGGTGGTGGGGTTAAGGTGGGGGTAATAGGACCAATGTGGGGGTTGGTGGGATTAAATAGGATTGAGGTAAGGGCTGGTGGGATCCAGAAAAGCATTGGTAAGATCATGGAGGGATCAAGGCAGGGGCTGGTGGGATGAAATGCAGCTGTTGGTGTGATCAAGGTAGGAACTAAGTAGGGGCTGTTGGGCTCAAGGCAGGGATTTGTGGGACCAAGGTAGAATCAAGGTGAGAATTGGTGGGATCCAGGCAGGGCCTGATGGGATCAAGGTGGGATCATGACAAGATCCAGCCAAAGGCTGCCAGGACCCCCTAAGATCTGTCCCTGTGCTTGTGGCCCTGGTGACACTGAGGTATCCTGCAATCCTGGTGTAGAACTTGCTGCCTGGGACTCTGGGGAGGGCAGGAGCTTATGGAAAGCCAAGTGCCCAAGCCAGAGCTGCAGCTCTGGGGATTTTTAGTGATGTGGGAAATTCTCTCACCCTTCAAATTCTTTTTTCCTGCTGGCAGAGGAGAATTCCCAGGTCCTTTTACACTCACCAGGCTCTACAAACTGAAAGATGAAGGACGTGCAGCAGCCCCACTGGGTTCTCATGGGAATCACATGGATTTCACCTTCCCCATTTCCTCCTTCAGGGAATAAGCTTTAAAATTCACCATGCAAAGCCAGAGTGGGTTTGTGTGTGGGTGACACAATTGAATCCAAATCAACACTCCTGCAAGTGAGTCAGAATTAGCATTGATGTTTGTGTGAGCTGGAGCCTGTGTTGGTGTTTTGCAGCTGGGCTCCACAGCCATTGGGATCCAGACCTCAGAGGGAGTTTGCCTGGCTGTGGAGAAGAGGATCACATCTCCCCTCATGGAGCCCAGCAGCATTGAGAAGATTGTGGAGATCGACTCCCACATTGGTATGGAGGAAGGATTCTGCCCTGGGGGGTCCCTCTGCATCAGATCTGGGAGCACTTCTAAAACTGTGAATTATTTATGATACGAGAATATGATATTTTTATATTTATGGTATGATTTGGGAAGTTGTGTTTTGGGATGTGCCCTCCCTGCAGGCAGTTCTGCCTGGAGCAGGAATGCTCATCCTTCCCAGTGCACACCAGCTCCTGGTCACTGGTTTTCCAGGCTCCAAGCAAGCAGAATGTAGCTCCAGGAAGCAGAAAGAGGCAGCTGAAGCACTGCCCCCTGCCTCAGTGACCTCCCTCATGAAACCTCATCCCAAATTTAGCTCTGGCAGGGCAGAGAATTATGGTGGGCTTGACTGGGGCCAGTTTCTCCAGGATCACTGATGCCACCCTGGAGCCACCAACACCTTGATTGGCCCACAATGAGCTTATGACCAAAGATGTCACCCTGAAAGGCAGGAAACCTCCAAAATTCCCTTATTGCTGCTCCATGGGCATGGGAAGAACTCCAAGAGTCCAGTTTCCTCCTCCCAGGAGCTTGTGGTGCAGCCCCCCCTTCCCAGAGTGGAATCTGTGCTGGGGGCTCCTGCTGCAGCTGCTGGCTGTGGGGCAGCCAGGGCCCCTTCCCAGCGGGTTATTCTGGAGCAAATCTGTTTCAATCCCACAGGATTCTTGAGGCTGACAAAGCCCTCTAAAATTGAATCCAACTATACCAAGGCCACTACTAATCCATGTCCCAAAGTGCCATATCCACACTTTTTGAACCCTTCCAGGGATGGGGAGTCCACCACTGTTCACAGGGGCAGCCTGTGCCACTGCCTGAGCATGCTTTCCATGAAAAAAAATTACCTGATACCTGACCTGAACCTCCCCTGGCACAGCTCGAGGCCATTTCTTCTTGTCCTGTCCCTGGGAGCAGAGCCTGACCCCCCCCCAGCTGTCCCCTCCTGTCAGGGAGTTGTGCAGAGCCACAGGGTCCCCCCTGCGCCTCCTTTTCTCCAGGCTGAGCCCCTTCCCAGCTCCCTCAGCCTCTCCTGGTGCTCCAGACCCTTCCCCAGCTCTGTTCCCTTCTCTGGATATGCTCCAGCCCCTCATTGTCCTTCTTGTGAGAAACCCAAAACTGTTCCCAGGATTCCAAA